CCCCCTTTTCTTAGAAGACATTTCGCTTCTCATCCAAGAAGCTTCTTCAGCTCTGATTGGGTGGTGGGGAAGGATTTATACCCCTTGCAGACAGCTGGTCATTTGCATCCTTTTTAGAGGCCACCTGGAGGTTTACCTGTGTCCTCAGGGTCACCCTGAGTGGTGCAAATGGGCGTGGAGCCTTCTTGGAGCTGCTGGGAGGAGGGTCTGTCGTGTTCTCAGTCCTCCAGGCCCTGGTGGTCCCAAAGGTGCTTTTTCCGGAGGCAACTGGGCTTCCTGCTTTTTCTTTGAAGGTGTTTCGCTTCTCATCCCAGAAGGTTCTGTTGAAGGGATGGTGTTGTATCCTGTAGATGAGGTTGTATCCCTCCCTCCCCCTCTTGAGGTGTTCAGTTTGGACCCAGGTGGCCTCTTTGAGCCCCTCTTTCAAACCAGCGGTCCGCTCGGTCCAGAAGGTGGACTTTGCTGTCTTCAAAAGAGCGGCCTTGGTCTCCTCAATGCAGGTGGAAGGGCTGAGTCCTCACTACTGAGGTGCCTCACCGGCTCACTGAAGCCGTATGTCTCAACTATCTGTCTCAACCATCCCCCCACCCCATTCCTGTAGCAGCTCTAAGTTGTGTGGACTTCAATTCCTAGCATTCCTCAGCTGCCATCTGGCCCAAGGAATCCTGGGAGTTGAAGTTCACACATCTTAAAAGTTGCTGGAATTGAGAAACACTGTTGTAGAGGCCCAGCCCTCGTGGCCTAGCCTGTAATCCCCGTGGAGCTGCTCAGTCCAACAGCCGCGCTCGCTGCCAGCCCACATCCTGCCTGCATCAACCTCTTGGCACAGCCCTGCTCCCTCCATCACTGGCCGGGCCCGTGTGGCCCTTTTTTGACTCCAGAGAGCCCAGGTACCCGGCCTCTGCAGTGGGCACCTGCAGTGGTGAACCTTGGACGGGCTCTCTCTATGCACCCTGCTTGGTGCCCTTCTGGGGCAATGCCAGGACCGGAGCTTCAAGAGGAGAGAAGCCGCTTCTGCCACTCGGTTGTCCCAGATGTGTGCATCACAATATGGAGGCTCACCGGGCCGTATTTTCTATGGGTTGTAACCTTTGGGCCAGTAGCACTTCCTGTATTCCACTGGCTACTTCTGGCTGCTGCAGGCCATGGCATTTGCTGAAGCTGTTCCAGAATTTAGCCCAGGGACACCCAGCCGTGGCAACTTGAAGACTTGTGGACTCCAACTCCTAGAATTCCCCAGCCAGCAGGGGAGTTTGGGGGGAAAATTATTGATTGGTTTCTGAATGGTCCACTGAAATATATGTTACACGCAAAAGCACGTGAGGTGGTGCCCCTTAAACAGCGTATCATACTCAGTTTGGGATGATGTTGCTGATGACGATTGTGTTGTTTTGACAGCGTGTGGGAAATTATCTAGCTTTGCCCAGAAGAAATGTGGGGGCTAAGGAGAAATAAGGCAAATATTTTTAATTGAATAAAATAACGTTCATAGGATTTATGGTGAAGAAAGTGTTCCATTTATCTATGTGACCATGTTATCTATAAAAGAAATAATAGAAGCAGAGAGCGAAAGTAAAAGAAGGAAGGAAGGAAAGAAAGAAAAGAAAAAGAAGAAAGAAAAGGAAGAAAGCAGGGCTGGCTGGGGAATTGTGGGAAGTGAAGTCCAAAGGTCTTAAAATTGCCAAGGTGGACATACCTCCCCTCTCATTTCGCCATTAGGGAGCTGGGGCAAGATTGGCAGATGCTGCCAGTCTATTTCAGCTCAGGGCACCGTCCAGTGGGGTGTTGTTGGGCCCTGAGCTTTGCCTGCCAGGGGACTGTAGCCATGGGGTGGGAGTGGGCTACAGCAAGGTGGGGGGGGGGGAGATTGCTCAGGTTCTTGCAACCCCCTTGCTGACCCTGCAGCCTCCCTGTAGGGCTGCTTGGACAGGCCTGCCTAGCGTGCATCTCCCTGGGTGATGCTGGGTACTTTTAGCGCCTCTTCTAGGAGACTGAGGCGCGTTTTGTGAAAGTTTGTTCAGATGGTGTCTAAGAAGAGCTTCAGCAATATGCCGGTCTGTCTGCTCACGGCATTGACTGGCAGCTGTTTTCCCCACTGAGGCTGGGTGGGAGGGGAAATGCAACTGGGGCATCTGCCTGGCACTCTTGGTGAATTGCCTCACTTGCCAGCTGTCTGGGCAGGTGAGCCTTGAGTTTATACCACACAAAATTTTTCCCCCGATTCGGAGCCCGCCGGGGTTATTCGGCCCCAAAGGGGGGGGGGGGGGGGGGGCTCTTCCTTTGCTCAGGGCAGTTTACCTGTGCCCCTCCTCCCTGCCCAGGGATCTTACTCAAGGCGGCCTTCGAGAGGGGGCTCCTTGCCTGGAGCCTGGGCTGGTATGCCCAGCAGAGAAGGCGTTGCCTTCATCCGGCCCTGGGTTGTGGCCACAGCTCTTCTGCCGAGAACGGAAGGCAAGAACGAAGAGAGAGATCGCAGCCACCCTCTGGGGCTGTTGGTTTAGCCAGTGGGGGCGGGGGGCAGGGGGCTTTCCCTAGTGTTGTGCCCCCAGGCCCCTTGGCACTGGTGACCTGGAGTGGACGGGCAGTGGATCTTACTGGCTGGCCCCTGGCTTCTTTGCCTGAGCACCTCTGGCCTGATACGCAGAGGGGCTGCCAAACCTCTGGCCCAGATTGATCAGTCACAAAAGCTCTTGGAAGGCCTCCTCGGGTGATGACGGGGTGTGGTGCCAGTGTTAATCCACCCTCGTCTTGTGCTTTCCTGCTTTCCAGGTGAACCTGGCCAGGTCCATGCTCCCACCTGGGAAAGAAGCCCCGAAGAGCTGCTCCTGCCAGCAGGAGACGGAGGAGGCGGCCCTGTCGGGAACTCCAACTGGTCCCAGGCAGTGTGTGGAGGAGCCGCAACAGCAATAGGGGCCAACTTTGGGGCACAGACACTTTGGGGTGATTTCCCCCCTCCCACCCCACCCTCCGGCGGGAAGAAGCACCGTTCCCGAACTCCGGAGAGGAGGGCGCTGCGTTCCAGTGCCAGCTCTTTGGGAGGCCTGGTTTTGCCTTCAGGCCTTCCTGTAACCACTGACTGTTGGGGTTCAGCAGCTGGAGAATCAGAAGTGCCTTTGCTGGAGTAATTATTGAAAAAAACTGGGGCTTTGCCAGAGACACTGAAACGGAATATTTCGGCTAATAGCACTATTGACTAAGCACAGGCACCTGAAGCTGTGGGGCGAGGAAGGCCTGCCAGCATTAAGCAGATATGTCTTGGAGGTGGGGGAGAGAGTAGGGCCCCACAATCAGATGGTGTCTGGGAGTGCAAGAAATCCTCATATCTGTGATGCCAGTTGGGAGACATCCTTGGTCAAAACATTCCTGCCTTCTGCTCTGCGGTTTTATGGCTCGGAGTGGTTAGAAGGCAGCATTGCAGGCCAACTCTGCCCACAGCCAGGAGTTCGATCCAAATAGGCTCAAGGTGGATTCAGCCTTCCATCCTTCCAAGGTCAGTAAAATGAGGACCCAGATAATGCTGACATTGTAAGCTGCTCAGAGTGGGCTGTAAAGCACTGTGGCACCTAAGCCAAAATGTGTCATAGCTATTCTTGACGTGCCTGAATAAGACTTGTCGTCATTGCTATCAAATCAAAACTGAGGCGATGCATTGTTAGGGACTTAAAGTAACTTGGGAATGATAACCTGGGAATTTCTCAGTTTCTCAGAATTTCTCTGGCCACAGCAGGGAACGAACTCTGAGCCAGTAGCAGATGCTGTTTGCCAAGGCTGCTTTCTGGAGCAAAAAAACTAAGTTTTGAAAGCACAAGAGCTGAGGGAGGTTTCCCTTCTCCAGTGTCCCAGGCCCTTTCTTTTCTCAGCCTGCCGAGAAGGCTCCCTTTGCCATCCAGGGAGAGTTTGAGATGGAGGAGTTGTTTTTTGTTTTGTTTTGTTGTGCCTAGACAGTCTTTTCCCATTAACTAGATTGGGGGCGGGGGTTGGGGCTGTGGGAAGGCCACCAAAGGGCTCACTCCACTTTGATCCCAACACACCCGGGTTAATCCAGTTGTCGGTGTTGAGGTGAGGGCTAAGGAGTTCCTCTGCAGTCTGCTGAAGATTCTCAGCCTGGAGCCCTCTGGGTGACCTTGGGCCGGTCACTTTCTCGCAGCCCTAGGAAGGAGGCAATGGCCAGCCAGTTTTGGGAACCTTGCCAAGAGAACTGCAGGGACCCGTCCAGGCCACCACCAGGAGCCAACAGAGGCACCAAAGTGGAGCCACCACAACGAAGCCGGCTCCACCAAGCCCAGTTGCAGTGCAGGACAGCAGGCTGCAGCCTCTTCCCCCTTTCCCTCGCCTGCTCCGGCTGGGGGGGGGACAGGGAGGGGTGGGGGACGCCTTGCTCGGGCCTTGGATGCGTTGCCTCCAAACGCTCGCTGGCTGCAATTGGAGGGGGGGAGCCCTCGGGACTCGCGGCAGCATGAAGGCGGCTTGCAAAGGAGGGCGGAGGGTTTGCTGTTCGCTGCATCTCCTGCCTCTCGCAGCGGATAAGGGGGCGGGCGGCGAGGTCTCTTCTGTTTTGCCCTTGGGATCGCGCCCCCGTTCTTCGGGCTGGTGGGCTCCACGGGGCGGGTGCCTTTGCAGAGCTGGGAGGGAGGGCGCCCTGGAGCCGCAGCTGCCCGCCTCCCGTTAAGCATCGCCCCGCGGGGTCTCGCGCGGCACCGCAGGACCTTCCCCAACGACGACCTCCACGCCCATCATCCCCAGCCGGCTCGCCTATCGTGAACCAGAGTAGGGCTGCAATACGGGACCGGGGGCGTCAGGTTGCGGAAGGGACATGCGGCTGAGCGGGTGGGGCGAGTCGCGCATGCGCGCCCTCCGCAGCCGACGTCCCTCCAGAGAAGAGACTCGGATTGGGCGCGCGTCTCCTTCCGCGGTTGCCGGGGAGACGCTCCCGCCCTCCAATTGGCTGAGCCGCCGGGCGGAAGGTCGCTGCGGACTTCCGTCGCGCGACCCGGAAGGAGATGGCGGCGGCGCCTCCGCCGCGCGGGCGGGAGCTGCGGCTTCTCTGTCTCCACGGCTACGGGCAGAACGCCGAGCGGTTCCGCGCCCGGACCGGCGCCCTGCGGAAGGCCCTGCGAGGCCGCGCCCAGCTCCTCTACCTAGACGCGCCGCACCGCCTGCCGCCGGCCGAGGGGGAGCCGGAACGCGAGGGCGGCGCCGGGCCGCGGGGGTGGTGGCCGGAGTCGGAGGCCGGGCCGGAGCCGGGGGAGGCGCTGCGGGCGGTGGCGGCGGCGCTGGCGGCGCTGGGCCCCGTGGACGGCCTGCTGGGCTTCAGCCAGGGCGCGGCGCTGGCCGGGCTGCTGTGCGCGCTGCGGGAGCGCGGGGACGGGCGCTTCCCCTTCCGCTTCGCCCTGCTGGTGGCCGGCTTCCCCGTGGCCGAGGCGGCGGCGGCGGCGGGGCCGCTGCGGGTGCCCAGCCTGCATGTCTATGGCGAGGCCGACCGCGTCATCCCGGCGGCGGAGAGCCGGGCGCTGGCCGAGCGCTTCGCACAGCCCGCCCTGCTGGCCCACGCCGGCGGCCATTTCGTCCCCGCCGCCGCCGCGCAGAGGGCCGCCTACCTGGGCTTCCTGCGCCGCTTCGAGGGCTCCGCGGAGGACGAGCTCGGGCCGCCCCGATCGCCGCCGGCTGCCCCCCGCGCCTCGGACTCGCGCTCGGCGGCTTCCCTGCGGGGCTGCGGCGAAGGTCCAGCCTCGGGTCAGGCGGCGGCGGCTGCAGGAGGAGGAAAGGCCCGTCCCGGAGACCCGCGAGACACCGACCGGGGCTCTCCCCCAAGCGCTCCATGACGGTCCCTGCCTGGAGGTTGCGGTGCTACGATTAAGGGGCTTTCGGGGGTAGAAGGCCGTCGGAGCCGCTGAAGTTTGGAGGCCCGGAAGCCTCTCCGTGTTTCAGGCTGGTCCTGCCAGGCGTGGCTGGTCACATGGTCGGGACTTGCCAGGCACCCAGGTTGCAGATCCGCTTTCCATCTCGGCTCAGGGAGAGAGTCCAGGCTCGGACTGAAGGGAGGACTTAAAACGGAGGCGGCTGTCCTGGGATGTGGAACCTGCCGCTTGTTGTCTCGGGAGGAAGAGGAGGCAGCCCCACTCTGCCCACTCCAAAGGCTGCAAGAGGAGAGGATTGCCGGCTCTGCTGCCGTCCGAATCAGGGCCCTGAAGGACCTTCCTCCTTGCTCTGGTCCGATCCTGAGAGAGGAAGGAGGGAGGCAGAGGGGTCTGGAGCCCAGGGGTTTTTTTCCGTCCCCTCAAAGTTTAGATCAAGTCAAAGTGACAGTGAGTGAGGAAAAAGGGCCTTTGATTCCAGGAATTGCTGTTGCAGCTTTTGCGGTCAGACATTGTGGGGGATCCATCACTGGAGGGTTTTAAGAAGAGACTGGACAGCATCTGTCTGGAATGGTATGAGGTCTCCTGCTTGAGCAGAGGGCTGGACTAGAAGACCTCCAAGGTGCCTTCTAGCTGTATTCTAATTGATTGATTAGGATTGTGAGCTTTATTTTAGTAAAGTTGAATAGGGATAATTAAATGAAGATTTTGTACCTGTGATTGTTGACTCATTTCATGTTCCTGGCACTTGATCCATTTGGCGAGGCCTTCTTTTTCTGCCTCTGAATGGAATAGAATAGAATTCTTCATTGGCCAAGTGTGATTGGACACACAAGGAATTTGTCTTGGTGCAAATGCTGTCAGTGTACATAAAAGAAAAGAGACATTTGTCAAGAGTCGAGAACCCCTTTCCCTCTTGGTACCTCCAACCAAAACAAGGTGTATCTCTTTGCACAGCCTGCCTCTCAGTCTCATTTTTTTGTAAAATTTAGGGGAGATTCTTTTGAAAGATGCTGCCTGTGATTCTGGGCTGGTCTTTTCTTTAAAGCTTTTAAATAAAGTGTAATTTGTCATTTGTGCCTGCTACATGCCACTCCTGAGGGAAGGAGGCAAATTTTTCCATCCCACACACTGCAAGCTCACACCAGAAGACAACACTGGGGAGTGGCTGCATTTTTAGAACTCTTGCTTTTTGGAGGTCTAGCAGGCCAGACGGGGGGGGGGGGGGAGGGGGGGGCTCCTGTCCCCTGGATTTAAGGCGAGGGAGGGGATTAGCAGCAAAAATACTCCAAAGCTCTTGTGCGGAGGCAGAAAGGTTGGCCGGCCTGAGGGTGCAAATCCAGAGAATTCCTGGGGTGGGGATGACGGCTCCTGATCAGTCACTCTGCAGGTTCAACCCCTGGCTGGGCTTGTGCAGTTGTGAAAACGAACTGTAGATGTTGAAGCAAAAGGCGATGGAATCCTTCTGGAAGTGAGCGTGTGTAAACTTTCTTTCACCACAAGAGGGCAGTGCTGCTCCCCATTTCTGTATTTTTCCACCTGTAGGACAGGCATCCAGGCTTAGAGAAGCAGTGGTGGATGGGTTTTGGTCCTCCCTGAGGTAGGGGAGCTTCAGGGGAGGAAGGGGGCTGTGCACAGCCGAGACCTCTGGCTTCGGATGTCCCCTGAGGGACAAGGTGGGTAGGCTGGATGGCACCTCCTTCCTGGACCTGCTCAATAATGGCAGCAGCAGCAGTTTGCCTCCCTTAGCAGCATGGCTGCCCGAGGAATGCTGGGAGTTGAAGCCCACATGTCTTAAAGTGCCCGAGGTCTTTGGTTCCCCAACACACACACACACACACCGGCCTGTGGGTTGGTGGTGAGACCTTTGGCCTGCCAGAGCCAGAGGGGCTCCGTTCAAGCACCCCAAAGGGGCCCACCAGTCTGAGCCTTGGGAGCCTGCCAGGCAATGCCGGGGTCGTCCTCAGGCAGGGCTCCAGCCTCTCCTGCAGCCCTTGCCTGACCCTGGGCACCCAATGAACTCCCTGCCCCACAGACGGGTCAGCCCCGGGCCCTGCCGTGTTGGAGGAGCAGCTGCCGTAGATTGGAGGCTCCTTCCCTGGTCAGTTGCCCCCAAGGAGCCCAGGCCCCCTTGTCAGTCCAAGCGGAAGGGGGGGCCGAGTCCTTGGCGCTTCTGAGCAGAGGGAGCAGCGGCCGAAGCGGGGCCTCGTTTGGCGCCTATCGCTGGACCTGCGAGTGGAAAGGGGGCCTCCCTGGGGTTCGGGGGGGGGGGGGGGGGGGGGGGGGAGCAGCAGCTCCCGGGCGGGGGGCGCTCGGCTCCTCTGAGCGCAGCACTCGCTCTGCTTCGGAGCTCCTTTCCGGCTAACGCGGCGGTCGCGGCTGGATCCCCGGGATGGGCTGCTCTACTCAAGCAGCCGAAAGGCCGGGGAGACACCGGGGCGGGGGTGGATGCCCGCAGAGCGGCGGGGATGCGACAGCGAACGAACCCGACGTTCGGCTGAGGTACAAGTGGCGGGGCTGCGGCCACACCTGGAGCCTTGGAGCGCGCAGGTAGAGGCGGAGGCGGGGTCAGCTCCGTCCACCTTGGCTGGGTTGTTCACGGCGAGCGGCCAGGACGGGGGGGGCGGATCTCCGAGGCTGCAGGCTCACCTGGGCGGCTTCTGACTGCTGAGGCTCTTCCTGCCCGGGGAACGGGACGTCCTGCTTTCAGGCAGCCCCGCAGAGGGCCACATTGCGGAGCTCAGAGCGCGAAATTCGTCGTGGAGGCTTCTGTGCACAACCATGTTTGTGAGGCGGTGATTGGGGGGTCCCCAAAGCACCCCGCCCTCGCCCAGCCTGACCCCTTTTGTGCTTTTTGTGGATTTTAGTTCTGCGTTTAACACAATTTTTCCACATAAGACTAGTGTCTAAACTTCTGGACCTTGGACTTTGTTATTTAATCGGCCTTTGGATTATGGATTTCCTGTCTGGCCACTCACAGAGGGTCCAATTAGGTAATCATACCTCTTCATCCCTTATTCTTAACACTGGTACACCACAAGGTTGCGTGTTGAGTCCCTTACTCTATACTCTTTTATGTGCATGACTGCTGTGCTGTCCCAGCCAGTCTATGGGAATTGGATAGTTACTTAGGAATTATGAGCTGTCCACTTAAGGGAATGCATCATGGTAAATGTAGTTAAAGGTATCCTGGGAAATGTAGTTCGTGTCTGTAATCCTGATTGGTCACTAAATTGACCCTCGAGGGGTTGGGGGAGGTTTTCCTCATTCTTTGTCTGAACTCTCTTACTCATGGCAGCTTCTTTCTATCGCTACGAGATGGGTTAGGAGATAACCTTCTTTTACTACAAGGCAGATATACAAAGGGATTGGTCATTAAAGAAGAACTTCATCACAAATATGAGGACACCTGATGAACTAATAAATGTTCTTTGTTATGGACAAAGTGTGTAGACAATAACTTGGTCCTCAACACCAACAAGACCAAGGAGCTGATAGTGGACTGTAGAAGGGACAGATCAGACCTCCAGCCCTTGCTTATCCATGGAGACCGAGTGGAGCAAGAGGCCAGTTTTAAGTTTCTGGGTGTTACCCTAAAAGAGGACCTGACCTGGGGTGCCCACATTGCAACCCTGGTCAAAAGGGCCCAGCAGAGATTATACTACCTGAGGCTTCTCAGAAACCAACAACTGAATGAGAAACTGCTGGGGACCTTCTACCGCTGCACCAGAGAGAGTATCTTAACTTCCTGCACACCTGTGTAGGGTTTGCCAGTTGCACAGAGGCAGATAGGATGTCACTCCTGAGGGTTAATGTCATTGCCCAGAGGATCCTGGGTTGCCCTCTCCCCTCTTTGGAAGAGCTTCATAGCTCCCGCTGCCTTGAGAAAGTTCAAAACATCCTCAAAGATCCATCTCATCCTGGGCACCCCCTTTTTTTGAACTATTACCATCTGGCAGACGGTACAGGAGAATAAAAACAAGCACAAATAGGCTGAAAAACAGCTTCTATCGGAGGGTTCTTTTGAATTCTACTGTATTGTGCAGTGTTGGTGCAGTGTTGGGGGTTTTCAGTTCAATGTGTGGAGTGTGAAGAGTGTGTTTGTGTTTATTTTCATGGTCATGATGTGCACTGAAGATGGTGTTTGATTCCGTTGTATGAGGTGCAAGGACAATAAAGTAAGCTAAACTTTTCCCACCGCTGGCATCCCAGCCCTTCCCTGCCCTGAAGGAAGCTCACCTGTGGCATTCCACAGTGCCAGAGTGCCAGTTCCTCTTGCCCCAGGCTTGGTGAGCAAGAAGTGTGGTGCGTGACACTTTCGGAGCCATGGTGGTCTTGGATACCTCACCCCACCTTTACCTTTGTTACCTGTTGCACCTGGAAGGAAGGGAGGCCTTAAAACTGGATGGAGACAGCACTGCTGTTATTTCCTTCCCTTCTCAGTCGGCCCAGTCCTGGTCCCCCTCTACTGCTCTTTGTGTGTGTGTGTGTGTGTGTGTGTGTGAGAAACAGAGAGAGAAGGCCCCCTGAGTGTGTCAGCACAGATGGTTCTTTCCCAAGCAGCGAAAGGCTCCGGGACAAGGCCAGTCTCTTCTGCCTTTGCGTTTTGGGGTTACAAGGTCACTTTTGTTGCTTCGCTGAGAGCTTCGCCTCCCCGCTGCCCCGAGGCCTGGCAGACCCAGCTGGAGGGAACAGGCCTAGCGGCTGCCTTCTCAACAGACCCCCCCCCACTTTATTGGGGTCGGGATCCTTCTAGCAACTCCCAGCGTCTGAGTGCCAGTTTTCATCGGGGGGGGGGCACTTGACCCACCCTGGCTGCCCTTGAAAAGTGGCAGGTTTCGTGGTGCATCGTATCCAACCAACAGAGACGGGGGGAGGGTATTACTCAAAGTCCAAAGGACGGCTTGGGGGGGGGTGGGGAGAAGAGCGGGGACCGTGGAGAAGTTAGAAGGCACCGCCAGTGCCGGGCTCAGCCACTTTCTCTCGCGCTCAGTTTCAAGGGCCTTTTTGCTCCGAGGGAGCAGCTGGGATCCCTTCTGACCATCCGCTTGGAAATCGTTCTGGCAGGTTAAGGACGAGAAGTGGGGGCTGCAGGCGGAGCTCCAGCCCAATGCAGGAGATCCCGAGGCCTCAGAGGAAGGGGGGGGGTTGCCCAGAAGGTTTCTTTTCGGAGGAGTTGAAACTGCGCTGAGCCCATCCTGGGGGGGGGGGGGGAAGCTCCCTCCCCTGCCTTCTTTGTGGCTGCGGGAGGCTGCTGGACGCAGGGATGTTGCACCAGGTGACTGCAGAGCCGTGGGACTTGCTGGCAGGAACGAGAACCTGTGAGAGAGCTCACCATCACTGATGGGGGGCAGCCTCTATTCCAGAAGCGGCGCTGCAGCCCCATTCAGAGGGTCCCTGTGGCTCTGCTGCCCCTCCGGCCCTGTAAGTAGAGGGGAATAGCCGAGAAGGCAGAGCAGTGTGTGTGTGTGAGAGAGAGAGAGAGGGGGGGGGAGGGAGACAGGGGCACACGCACACACACAGATGCGCCCTTTTCTACTCAGCGCGGAGAGGCCTTCCTCCATCTGACCTCTTTAACCAGAGGAGTTGTGGGGCAAACCCGGGTCTTTATTCGTGCACAGGGTTGGCTCGGCATTTGCCTGAATGGTGAGTCACTCCTTGCCCCCCCACCCCACCCCACGCCAGGGATGGAAGCGCGGTGCCC